ATCCCACTAACTCTAGAGGCAGACAGGAGGATCACAAATTTGAGGTTAGCCTCAGCGACTTAGTGAGGACCCTGGCTCAAAATAATAGGTCTGGGACTCTGGAGGATGGGCCATTGCAGATGGTGATGACCAGGGAGGGGCAGTCAACAAGGTGGCAACTGGACTAGCTGAAGAATGGGGTGACTAATACTGTAGCCCTTACATGGCATTGCAGGAGAGGGAGTCATTGGCATGTCTGACATAACCTACATTGAGTCCCAATCAAAATTTAGGTAGGCTGTGTGGGTGCAGCTCAGTGGCAAAGCACTTGTCTAGCGCACATGAGGCCCTGTCCACCCCCAGCAAAACCAACCTTGAGGAATGACTGGTCTCACATGTGCTAATAATTTTCACTCAAAACTAAGAAGCATTTACTGTCAGTAAATGGTCTACCTACCTGTCTACTCATCCACACCTGGACACCTCCAAATGTCAACTAGATCCCAGGCAATAACACAGCAGACCTTGGTCCCCACCAGGTCCTAATTTCCATATTAGATGACAAAGCACACGTTTGGCAGAGCCCTAATTGAAACCTGCTTGTGCTTTTGACAAAACCTGCTGTATGTGCGGGACAGGAACCACCAATTCTTTTAGTCTCCAGAAGGATAAGAGGATCCAAAGGCAACAGAGAGTCAAAGGAGATGGGCCACTCTTCAGCCACCTCCCTGGACAAAACAGTCACATGGACACCAGTTACTGCTCCAGTCAATGTAAGGGAAATTTTATTGAGGTCCCAAGGCCATACATGGGGCTTGGGCAGGAGGCCACTCCTTGGGGAAAGGAGCCAGTGGAGGGGCTTTATTTGACCTTCTTCTTGGGGCGAAGGTTGTTGGTGTGGCCACACTTCTTCTTGCGGCAGTTCACAGCACGGGGGTGCAGGCGGGCATAACACCTGTGTAAGGGATAGGAGCGGCTAATGAGGGCCCACCCTACCCCTTATTCCTGCCACCCCACCCAAGCATCTGAGGACACATACTTGCGACAGATCATCTTGTCACAGTTGTACTTCTGGGCAAGCTGGCGCAGAGAAGGCTCAATGATGCCACCTCGCAGGCGAAGCACCAAGTGCAGGGTGGACTCTGCAGGAGACAGAGGACATCAGCCCAGTCCTAGCACCTCAGTCACTGAGCAAGGCTTTCTGTCACCCGGTAGACTGGTGCTTCTCATATATCTATGTAATGAGAACTCCAAGCAGGATCCCAAGTGGTCTATGTGCAGATGGACACAAAGCGCTGGCCCGACCTGCCCACAGACACTCCATGGAGAATCATCCGGCAACTCTGATGTTTAAACATTATGACTACCACAGTGAAGAGGCATTAAATTTCTTCTTCTTTTTTAAATATTTTTATGTGGTGTTGAGGATGGAACCCAGGGCCTCGTGCATGCCAGGCGAACGCTCTACCTCTGAGCCACAACCCCAGCCCCTTCTTTTTTTTTAATATTTATTTTTTTAGAAGAAGTTGGACACAATACCTATGTTTAGTTATTTTTTATGTGGTGCTGAGGATGGAACCCAGGGCCTCACACATGCTAGACGAGTGCTCTACCACTGAGCCACAATCCCAGCCCAAGACACTAATTTTCTTTATAATAGTAATAAAAATTTCCTTAATTACTTTTTTTGGGGGTGGGGGTGCTGGGGACAGAATCCAGGGCCTCCTGCACTCCTGTATGCTATCTACCACACAATCCCAGTTCCAGTGCTCAATTTTTCTTTTTTCCCCCCCTTTTTCATTTTTAGTGATGGAATCCAGGAGCACTCTACCACTGAGCTACAACCCTAACCCTCCACCCTTTTTTAACATAATAATTTTGAGATAGGGCTTATACTTGCCCAGGCTAACTTAGAGCATCAACACTTCTGCCTCAGCCTCTGGAGTACCTGGCACTGTACTGACCCCTCGTCTTAAGAACTGCCTCCCTCTGTAGTGCCACCGAGTCCACTAATGCTCTGTCCAGGGACTGAGGGCTCATGGAGCCTGTTTTCTAGCAGCCCCACCCTAGTACCTTTCTGGATGTTGTAATCTGAGAGAGTGCGGCCATCCTCCAGCTGTTTGCCTGCAAATATCAGACGCTGCTGATCAGGTGGGATACCTGGAAAAAGAAGGAAGCTCAATTACTAAAATTATCCAACACTTTACTTGGGGTCTGTCCAAATCCAGCACCTAGCTCACAGGACAGAGCCCCCACTGACCCAGCCCAACTCACCCTCCTTGTCTTGAATTTTGGCTTTGACATTCTCAATGGTGTCACTGGGCTCGACCTCGAGGGTGATGGTCTTGCCCGTCAGGGTCTTCACAAAGATCTGCATCTCTGCGTCTGCTGGAAGGCAGGATGGAGTGGTGAGCAAAGCAGGCCTGACAGCCCTCCTGTACCTGCACTGACCACAATTTCAGGCCTGTGCCTTGCACTTGTCTTCCATCTACCCTGGCCTTTCTGGGCTTGTCTTCTCACACACTCTGGTTTTTAGCCTAAACCTGTCCTGTACCAAGGGACCAATTCCTCTGCCCTACTCCTGGATGCCATGCCCTCCCCCACAACCCCAGGTACTGGGGATGTTATCCAGGCTTTGCACATGCTGGGAAAGTGCTCTACCACTAAGCTATAACCACAAGCCTGCAGGAGTGTCCTTCAAGTTGGGCAGAGGAGGTATCCCCTTCAGTGTTTGCTGATATGCATGACAAGTACCCCGAGGCATTCTCTTTGCCAGGTATATCTTCCCTGAGGATGGTGCCATCAACCCCTGTTTCGACAAGTTCCTGGACTGTCCTACAGGTTTCCCTTACTACCTACACGGGAATGCCATCCCAGTAGCCATCTCTCCAACATGCCACACACCCCTTCTCCTTTTTCTTAACATAAAGATGAGATGTCCAACACTCTTGGCTTCCTTCTCAGACCTAAATTCCCCAGATCCCACTTACTGCCTTTACTCCAACCCATAAGCAATAATGAGGAGGACTGCGGATGGAGTTCAGCAGCAGATGGCCCCGCAAGTGCGAGGCCCCGGGTTCCATCCCCAGTAGCACCAAAAACACAACAAAAGCTACCACTTGTTATCTGCCAAACACGTGCCAGATATCTGTTTAGATAACCCTTCACTTTAAAAGGAGATTTAGAAAACAGTCTAGAAAATTAACGTCTATTGACGTAGAGTGAGGTACGAGCACCCAACCTGAGAAATCCAATCCTTTCCAAAGGCCCGGCGCACAACACGGCAGCACCACCGCCTACTGCCCCTTCCCTATCCACCCGCGGCCGTCCAGGAGGCTCCATTCCCGCCTCGAGGGATCGCTCGGGCTCCTCCCCGGAGCCGCGTCCGCCTCGGGGAGCCCCGTCCCAGCTGGGAGCCTGGGCTCACGCGCCCGTTCGCCACCCCCGAGGCTGCCCCGCCCGAGCGAGCTCGGGGTCTCCCTCTTCGCCTCCCGAGACCTCGCCCACCGCCCGCAAGCCGCCCCGCGCCAACCCGCACGACCTCGGCCACCGACCCGCTCTGGAGCCTCGTTGAAGAAAAAGAGGGCGGCGGAACCGGAAACCGCCGATTCGCCGCCGAGAGCGCCTGCGCACCGAGCACGCCGCACGTCTGCGTCACAATCCGCGTCTTGCATCGGGTGCCGCCCCAGGCCCCGCCCCCGCACCATGTCGAGTACTGGCGAACGAAGCCGCGGCGCACGTGGGCCAGCGTCGCTCACCCTCTTCCGGATGTGGGCGGCGCCCGTCGAGTCACGTGACGATGGTCGCGCCCCTCCAGGTGTTTTCGCGCATAGTCTATGGGTCCCCGACGTTACCTGGCACTTGGCCGATGCTCCGGGAATGCTTGTTGAATAGAGCAGAGGAGAGACTTTTCTGCTAAAGCAAAGGCGTCACGCAGAGAGGGTGCAGGGTGCAGGGGTTGAAATGGAGAATGTAGAAGTCACAGGAGACCCATGGAAGCCACCGTGGACACTCTACACCTGGAACCTGTTGCTGGAAAGCTTTGGCCGCTGTGCACGGACGGACTTGAGGGCAGAGTCTATGGGAGCAGGGAAAGCCGGTGAGACTAGTGCCTTCTCCAGGAAAAGGTAGTAGGGTCTGGCGAAAAGTGTCCGGTGGGACCCGGCGTGTTCTGGACTGGGACCAAAACTTGTGGATGGCACTGGACCAGGGAAAAGGGAGGACTGAGAAGTTACGTGTGAGTTTGTCAACGTGCTTCGTTATTCCTGGGAACATTTCTACTGTCTACTGCGTGTCACGCAGAGGCAGAGAAGCTTTCATGCCTGGGAAAGTGCCTTTTCTTGGGGACAATGTGTTGTTGTTTGCTGCCCAGATTGATTTCAAACTCGTGGGCTCAAGCCATCCTCCTGCCTCAGCCTCTACCGCACCCAGCAGATTCCTTTAACATAAATTCTAAGAGCTCCGAAGGTGAGGCGACTTTGGGAGAGTCTAACGGGAAATGGGGTCCCATATGGCTGCCTGAGCACCCCACCCTCACGCACACACACTGCAACCTAAAGGAGTCATTCAAGGGGGAAAGGGAAGTGTTGGTAGCAGTGCCAACAGAAGGTGTGAGGACCTGGGAAGTGCGAACCTGGGTTGTTAGGACTGCCACCACAGGGTCTTCCACGAAGAACAGCGCCATCTTTCTTTTGTGTGTGTGTGTGTGTATGGTACTAGGGATTTAACCCGGGAGAGCTCTGCCGCCAGCTACAGTCCCCCCTCCCCTTTTTAAGACAAATCCTACTAAGTTGCTGAGGCTGGCCTGGAACCTGCGATCCTCTTGCCTCAGCCTTCCAAGTTGCTGGAATTGCAGGCACAGCCACGCAGCCTGGTGGTCAGTCCCATCTCTTTCCAGGTCAGTGGTGTGTGCTTGTCTGCAGGCCCTGACAAAAGGACTCCATGTCCTCCATCCAGCACGTGTCCACTTTCTCAGCTGCTAGACCCAAGGATGGAAAGAAGCCAGGGAGATGTGCTCTTCCCTTTTTAGCAACAGAGTCTTTTTATTGATAACTTCCCAACAGCATCTGTAAACATCGGGTACAAAAATATTCCACTAAACTCTGTTTTCCAAGGTGGCGTGGCTTGCTCCAGGAAACCCAGAAGATGCCTACAGGGCCTCTGAGGTCCACACCTCTGTTCAAACACAGGCCTCACAGGCCCAGGGCTGAGTGGCCATCCAGCCTCCATCTCTAACTTCCTTCTCTGTGTCAGAAACCTCCTGGAGACACTAACTGGAGAAAGTACTCAGTACTTCAGTCTGAGGAAGGGGCAGGGAAACCAGAATGAATGGGTGCAGGGTGAGAGGATGATGTGACGATCTTGTCCACCTCCAGGAGGTCCTAGCCAGGGAATAGGGGGCATCTGGCTCTGGTCACCTCTTAACTGTTGTTCAGAGCACACCTGAGGCCTGGCTCTGAAAACATCCCTGTGCCCAGCCTCACCACTCCAGCTGGGATGGCTGTGCCCTGGCATGAGGTTATGTTCCCAGGAGAAGGAGCAGGAAATTGGAGACCCCGGGAATTCCACAGCCCCAGGAGGGAGCCCTGGATGACAGAACAGGGTGGCAAAGGTGAAGATGGTGAGGCGGGGTTACCCACTGCCACCTCAGACACCTGGGGATGGCTACTGCTGCCCAAGACCTCTGGGTGCCTGGAGCAGGACTACTCTCCTGGCCTCCCCTCGTCATCCGTCTGGCTGTGGCCGTTGACAGTGGGAGAGCCAGGCCGCATGTGGGACAGGTCTTCGAAGCCAGGGCTGAGGGAGGGCGAGACAGTATCAGGGCTGGTGTCGCATGAGCCTGTGCTCTGCTCCGAGGTGGCAATGGTGGTGGTGACACTGGGCGGGATGGGGTCCTCGTCTTCATCCTCCAGGAGGGAGGCCTCTGGGATATCTGGGGAAGGAGGCCCAGGAGTTGCTCTGCTGCCTTGTCAAACACTCAGATGGGGGACTTTGTGTGTGTGACCTGACAGGTTCCCTGCCCCGTGGGTACATGACTTAGCCCATTTTACTGAGGAAGAGGAAGAAACCAAGGCCCAGCAGGTAAGAGGAATCCCTGCCACACGAAGCGATGTTGGGGCGCTGCCTCAGCCTCCTAGGTTAGGCTGGCTGAGCTGGCTCTGTCCTTCCTCACCCCCACTACGTCACCTGGCCCAGGCACCCCTCCTGTCCACCCTGCTCTGTAAACTCGGAATTTATGCCCATGGTAGTCGGCAGCTTTGGGATGAAGAGCTAGCTATTGGCCCATTAAGCAGATGGAGTAAACCAAGGCTCAGCAACAGGGAACCCTCTGAGGTGCTGGCGACACAGAATGGTGGCCCAGAGCCACTAGGGCTGTCACTAGACAGATGTGAACTTGATTCCTTCCCCCTCCCTTTTCAGCTGCACTTCCTCCCACAATCGTGCTTCTCTGGGCGACAGTTTCCCCCTCTGAAATCGGGATATTCATAGTCCCCCGTCACAGGTGGTTGTGGGCAGAGTTTGGCTCATGGTACTACATGGGTACACCCCAGGACAAGGAGACTGCATCCCACCAGCACCCTGCCCTTGCCCCCCACCCCCATCTCTCTGGACCCTCCACCCACCAGGGCCTGGGCTGCATGTCAGCCCAAGGCGACCTTCGGGAAGCCAGCTCTGAGTGGAGGAAGCTGGCATGCTCGGGCTCACTAGCCTGGGTGACACTTACGGCTGAAGGCCTCCGGGTGCTGCCTGGCCAGTTTCCCCTTCAGGGTCCTGCAGGGAAGGGAAGGCACAGGGGCTGAACCTGCTGATCAGATGGGCTGGGCCTGGCACTGGCTAGGGAGCCCTTGCTGGGTGGGCAGCAGGAACCTGGCCCTCACCATTCACCAAGCCTCCCTCTCTCTGCCCCACACTCAGCCCAACAGGCCTGGGAACACCTGGGCAGACGTGCACCCTGGGGTCTGGTCCCTGAGCCCAGGCAGAGGGGCCCTCTCCCTGCAGTGCCTCCTTATGTTAGCCTCCTCTACCTTTGGACAAAATGAAGCTTAGAGAATTTTCTTCTTTTTTTAACTGCTGGTTTGGTGGGTGGGTTTGTTTGTTTGGGGGTTGGGGATTGAACCCAGGGCCTTGTGCACGTGAGGCAAGCCCTCTACCAACTGAGCTATATCCCCAGCCCCTAGCTGGTTCTTCTTTTTCCTAAAGTACTACAGCTGTGTTTGCAGAGAATGGAAAGGAGGTTTTCAAAGCAGGTGGTTATCTTTGTGGCCTTATAAGTACCACTACTGTTGATGGTTCCAGGCCAGGTGGCAACCCCTCTTCTACTTCTTGGGTGACGGGGACACATAGCTGTGGTTATCAACCCTCAAGATCCCTGCTCCCCCCACCCCAAACCATCTGGGCAGTAAACCTGATATGAAGCCTCAGAAAACATGTGCTGTTATAAATTATAAGGAGTCAGGCGCCATCTTAGGCACTGATAGTCCCAGCTACTCGGGAAGCCAAAGCAGGAGGATCACTTGTGTCCAGAAGTTCAAGGTCAGCCTGGGCAACATAGTTAGACCCCAACTCAGAAAAAAAGGGGGGACTTAACCAGCCTACCTCATGATTTTGACCTAGAGTCTGCTCAATAAAATGTGTTTTCCAGGGGCTGGGGCTGGAGCTCAGAGGTAGAGCACTGCCCTATCATGCATGAGGCACTGGGTTCAATCCTCAGCACCACATAAAAATAAAAAATTAAGATACTGTGTCTACCTATAACTAAAAAATAAATATTAAAAAAAAATTGTTTTTCCAGGGCCGGGGTTGTGGCTCAGCAATAGAGTGTTTACCTAGCATGTGCCAGGCCCTGGGTTCGATCCTCAGCACCAAATAAAAAATAAATATTTTTTAAAAATGTGGAGGGGCTGGGTTTGTGGCTCAGTGGTAGTGTGCTCGCCTAGCATGCATGAGGCACTGGGTTCGATCTTCAGCACCACATAAAAATAAAGACAATAAAGTCCATCAACAACTAAAAAAATATTAAAAGAAAAGAAAATTAAAAGAAATGTGGGGCTGGAGTTACGGCTCAGTGGTACAGCACTTGCCTGGCATGTGTGAGACCCTGGGTTTGATCCTCAGCACCACATGAAAATAAACAAAAGATTCATTTTAAATGTGTTTTCCAGCAGGTGCACAGCGGCTTCGGAGGTTTGCAAGTTCAAAGCCAGCCTCAGCAACAGCAAGGCCCTAAGGAACTCAGTGAGACCCTGTCTCTAAATAAAATACAAAACAGGGATGGGGATGTGGCTCAGTGGTCGAGTGCCCCTGGGTTCAATCCTCTAAACCTCCCCTCAAAAAATAAAAATAAAATAAAAAATGAAACATGTTTTCCTCAATATTTGGCACCTGCTCCCTGAGCCTACCAGCAGGTGCAGCTGTCCCTGAAACAGAGGAAGTGGCACATAGTCTTATGTAAATACAACACGTTACTGGCTTCCCTGGGAGCCGGTGTGCTGGCTGCGGCTGTAAAAGGCAATCAAGTGGCTCTGGATGCCATCTAGAGTGATGAGGTGCCCAGGGACTGGAGATCATCTTTTCTTGTCCTTACAGAAACCAGCTTGGGAAGGACCCACAAAAACTAGAGATTACCTCTGCCTCTTTGTTTTTTTTTTTTTTCCAGGTACTGGGGATTGAACCCAGGGCCTCGCACATGCTAGGCAAATGCTCTTGCCTCTTTTCTTTCATCTGCCATGTGAGGAATGGAGGCTAGGGCTCTACTACTGAACCACACACACCCAGCCCCAAGAAGTCAAGGTTTTTATCTCAGAGCTCAGATTTTCTTGGGACACTTAAGAGTACAACAAAGGGGCTGGGGATGTGGCTGAAGCGGTAGTGCGCTCGCCTGGCATGCGTGCAGCCCGGGTTTGATCCTCAGCACCACATACAAACAGAGATGTTGTGTCCACCAAAAACTAAAAAATAAATATTAAAATTCACGCTCTCTCTATCTCTTTAAAAAAAAAAAAAAGAGTACAACAAAGCCTCTTGAAATGAACTAGCACTAGCACGAAGACACCCACCTGTAATCCCATCTACCTGGGAAGCTGGAGCCAGGGGGTGGCAAATTAGAGGCCAGCCAGGGCAGTTTACAAGACACAGTGTCAAAACAAGATTAAAAAGGGCTGGGGCTGGAGGTGCACACCTGTAATCCCAGCGGCTCAGAAACCTGAGGCGGAAGGATTGTGAGTTCAAAGATCAGCCTCAACAAAAGCAAGGCACTAAGCAACTCAGTGAGACCCTGTCTCTAAATAAAAGGGCTGGGATGTGGCTCAGTGGTTGAGCGCCTCTGGGTTCAATCCTTGGAACCCAAACAAAACAAAAAGAGCTGGGGCTGGGCCCAGTGGCTCATGCCTGTAATCCCAGTGACTCAGGAGGCTGAGGCCAACCTCAGCAACTTAGTGAAGCCCTGTCTCAAAAAGGGCTGGGTGTAGAGCGCAGTAGGAGAGCACCCGGGTTCAGTCTCCAGTACCAAACAGCAACAACAATTAAAACAGCAGAACCTCCAGTTCCTGGGTTCGAAAGGACCATTCCACAGAGGGGTCAAGCACACACCTGATCCTGCGGAAGATGCTGTCCAGGTCCCGCTTCATTTCCACCAGCGTCCTTGTGTGGTGCAGGAAGCGCTCGCTCATCTGCTGCAGGCGGGCGCTGGACAGGTTGTTGAAATTCAGCAGCATCTCATTGGTCTTCTCAAAACGGTCCAGCCTGATGCAGAGAAAGGGCACAAGCTCTATGCCCCGCCTCCAGGGCCCTTGCTGCCTGACCACGCTAAGGCCTTACTTGCTTCACGACCGGGGCATGTGCTGTTTCTTTGGCCTGCCCAGTTAAAACTGCTGTTCAACCTTTAAAATCCTACTGAAGTGTACCCTTCTGTTAGGGTTTTGATCCTAAATGTCCCTGAAAGGGCATGTGCTAAAGGCCTGATCACCAGACTGTGGTGCTGCTGGAAGTGATGGAATGTTTAGAAGGCAGAGCCTCATGAAGGAAATCAGGTCACCGGGGGAATGCCCTCAAAGGGCTTTCAGGACCCTGGCACCTTCCTGCTACTTGGCCACAATGAAGTCAACAGGCCTACTCTCCTGTGCTTTTCCACAATGATATACTGTGCTGCCATAGGCCAGGGACCCATGCACTAAAACATGTGATCAAAAATAAACCTTCCTCCTCTGAGTTGTTCATCTCAGGTATTTTGTCACAGTGACGGAAAGCTAAGACTTTCTCATCTCTCCCTTAAGCAGACTCCCCACTCCCCTTAGACTCCCGCAGCCCCAAGTTGTTCCTCTGGCCCTGACTCCATATCTGCTTCTGACCACCCTCAGTCCAGGAGTTCCCAAAGGTCAGGTGTGAATTTGCCCTCAAGAACTAGAAGTTGAGATGGGTATTGCTGAGATTCTTCACCCAGGAGCCCAGGTACAGAGTGAGAAATGGCAGGAAATGAGGTCTGTGCTGGGTCATCAATGCAGTGTGGGAAAGCCTTTGGGTTAAGGACCAAAAGAAGCCACAGCCAGTTCAGTGGTACATGCCTGAAATACCATGCCTAGGTAGGAGGATCGCAAGTTCAAGGCCAGCCTCAGCAACTTAGCAAGGCTCTAACCAATTTAATGAAACCCTATCTTAAAAAAAAATAAAAATAAAAGGGTTGGGGATGTACTCAGTGGTAGAGTGTCCCTGAGTTCAATCCCCAGTTACTAAAAGGAAAAAAAAAAATCCCTCCAGTTCTCCAACCCCTGCCAAGCCAGTCACAGCTGCAAGACCTTCTGAACGTCCTGCTTCCTGTGCCAAGGCCTCGCCTCCAGGCCACAGAGGGACCGACTCTGGAGTCAGCAGGCAGATTTGCTCATTTCCTTCATTTTATCACCAGTGTGGGCCTGGAGTGGGGACTGGCCAGGAGTGGATTCCTTCCCCGCCTGGGGCCCTGCGGCCAACACTCACATGTTCTTCTGGGCCAGGATGATGGCATTGACGTCATCCGTGTTCACCATGCTCAGGATTCTGCTGCAGAAGACCCTCGAGGCCGAGTCCGGGGGGTCCATCTCTTCCTCCTCCTCCACGGCCTGGCACAGGTAGGAAACCACAATCTGTGGTCTATGCCAGGCACCAGGGGCGTGGGCCCTAAGGTGGGACTGGGAACCTCATGGGTTGGGTTCTGACTCAACCATTGCCCCCGAGGCGGGATGAGGCGGGATGAGCGTTGTGACTCAGCCATGCCAACTGAGCCTCAGGGTTATTATCCCAGAACTTGGAGTGTTAGGAATCAAAAGGGGTCCTATTTGTGAATAGCACACAAGCACCTTGGAATCCCCCACTCCCCAACTTTCAGGGCACCTGCTGTTCATTTGTCCAAGGCCCAGCCCCTTTTGGATCTGCCAGCCTCCTTCCTGTCCCCACTGGCAGAACACCATGGCTGCCTCGTCACATCACCACCTCCACTGTCTCTTTTCCGAGAGGTCTTTGCTGACAACCCCACTTGGGTCACTCTTTTCTTTCTTTTCTTGCCGTATTAGAGATGGAACCCAGCGCCTTGCACATGCCAGGCAAGTGCTCTGCCACTGAGCTACATCCCCGTTTTGATTTTGAAACAGTCCTTACTAAGTTGCCCAGCCTGTCCTCAATTTTGCAATCCTCCTGCCTCAGCCTCCCAGGTCACTGGCATTAGTTGTGCTACCACACCCAGCTTGGGTCACTCTTATATTTCACTGCTTCAGTGGAATTACCCTTCCTGAAATTACCCGAGTTCCCAGCTGACCCATTTGCCTACGGCTCCCTCTATACCGATGTTAGCTCCAAGAGAGAGCTGTCTGTGTCACCCAGGCCCAGAACCTGGCAAGGGATTGTCAGAGCTTTGTTTTGGACAGGCAAACAGAATTTTGGAAACTCAGCTCTGACACTAGACTTTTATGAGCAAATGAAAGCCAAGAATTTCAGGCATTCACAGCCCGGCAGTGGCCACAGCAACCCAGATGGCTCTGCAGCTCCCAGATCGCCTGACATGCGCGGACCTTCCCTACCCAGAGGGAGGGGGCTTTCCAGGCCACGTAGGAGGGGGACACGGAACTGACCCTTCTGAGAGACTTGGGAAAAATCTAGAACCTTGAGATAGCTTGGCTTTTTGGACCACACTTTTGAAGACCAAAACAGCCAGGCGTGGTGGTGCATGCCTGTAACAGCCATTACTGTGGAGGCTGAGGCAAGACAAGTTTTGGGAACTTGGTGAAACCCTTTCTCAAAAAATATGTTCCTGGGCTGGGGATGTGGTAGCCCGCTCCCCTGGCATGCGCGGGGCGCTGGGTTCGATCCTCAGCACCACATAAAAATAAAAATAAAGATGTTGTGTCCACTGGGGAAAAAAAAAAAAAGTTCCTCTGTCCCTGACTCCATGGGGCCAGAAGGGCCAGTATCTGCTTCTGACCACCCTCAGTCTGGGAGTTCTATGTTCTATGGATGTAGCTCAGTTGTAGTGCCCCTGGGTTCAATCCTCAGTACCAATAAATAAAAAATAATAATAATAATAATAAAGAACAACAGAAGGTTTACTTCTGATTGGTTAATTGTCACACATAGGAGCTGTGGATTTGGCTCAATGATAGAGTGCTTGCCTAGCACACAGAAGGCTCTAGGCTCTATCCCCAGAATCTCAAAAAAGGGGGAAAAAATTTACACAGGATCAGCAAAATGTTTGAATCCATTTAATCTACCTTCCCATTTCATTATTTATTTGTGGTGCTGGAGACTGAATACAGGTCCTTACACATGGTAGGGAAATCCTCTACCACTGAGCTACAGCTCAGCTTTTTATTTTGAAACAGGATCTCACTAAATTGCCCAGGTTGACCTCAAACTTGTGATCCTCCCGTCTCAGCCTCCAGAGTCACTGGGATCACAGGCTAAGCCACCATTTCTGGCTACCTTCCATTTTACTGAGCAGTTACTATATCCTAAGGCACCAAGCTCAAATACTTGGAACTATTATCATCTTTATTTACAGATGAGAAAACTGAGGCTCAGAGAGACTAAGGAACTGGGCCATGGTCACACAGCCAGTGAACCTGAGTCCTAACTCAAATGCACAGTCTGCAGCTTCCACAAAGGTGGGAATCTGAACAGGAGGTCAGTATCTACCTGCTACAAAAAGGCTGCCTCTTAAAAAAAAAAAAAAAAAAAGAAAGAAAGAAAGAAAAAAGAAAAAGAAATTACTTTGTTTTTATGTGGTTCTGGGACTCGAACCCCGTACCTCACATGTGCTACGCAAGACTTCACTGCCAAGCCACAACCGCCGCCCAGAAGGCTGCCTCTTAAAGCAGCAGCTGATTTTGGCCTGACTTCAGATATTTTTATGGGAAAAAATGTTAACAGGGTCTTCTTTTTTCCTCTGTGAAATTTCCTCAATTCCAAATGTTAGCAACAAATACTTAAAAAAAAAAAAAAAAACCATCATGGAGGCCAAGAATATTTATTTGTGCTTTGATTCTGGCTAGCAGTTTGTAGCCCCTGCTTTTCTTCTAGAAATAAGCTGCTGGGGCTGGAGATACAGCTCAGTGGTAGGATGCTTGCCTAATATGTCGAAGGCCCTGGGCTCCATTCCTCAATACTGCAAAATAAATAAATTTTTAAAATAATAATAATAAGCTGACACATCAGGTGTAAGCTTCCTCCCAACTGTTCACTGGGCTTTTATTATGTGTCAGGCAAGGTCACCACAGCTGCCACATTTCCAGAAACATGATCATATATAAAGAACAGATTTAAAAGAGCACTCCTGGGGGAGAGAACCACATCTAGCCCCTGTCAAGCACAGGATTTAGACCTCCAGAGAGATGGTTCTGCTTCAAAGCGGGGCTCTAACTGGGCGCCACAGCACACGCCTGCGATCCCACATACTTGGGAGGCTGAGGCAGAAGGATAGCAAGTTCCAGGCCAGCCTGGGTAACTTAAACCACTCTCAAAATAAAGAGCGCTGGGGATGTAGTTCAAGGGTAGAACGGCCCCGGTGGTTCAATCCCCAGTACCACAAAGAAAGAAATGCAGCGTTTTTATCCCCCCTGTCTTTCTGGCTCCCAGAAGTGAGAGTGAGGGGTTTGCGGCAACCTCCCCCTCACCCACAGCTGCCTCAGGAAGCCTTCCCCGACCGCTACTACAAAGCAGGATGGATCCAGCAAGGGATCTGCTCTGCTCCAAATACATTATGGGATGATGGAGCCGCCACGCACAGAAGGAGGCTGTGTTGTTCCACCTGAGTCTCAGAAAATGAGAATAGACTCAAGATCTCTCAGTGTGATAAAAAGAGAGCTCCAGCAGGTCGCCAATGCGTACACCTGTAGTGGCTGCTACTCCGGAGGCCGAGACTGGAGGACTGCTTGAGCGCAGGAGTTCCGGGGCCAGCCTGGGCAACAAGGAGATCCCATTTCTTTAAACAAAACAAAACAAAAAGCAAGGGGGAAAAAAACAAATCTCTGAGCAGGCTATTTCCTCCAGCTGGAATGTGAAGTCCCGGGAATCATCAGTTTAACAAGAGCCTCCCAGGAGCTTCCACAGGAACGATCACTTATATTTGATTCTTCATATGATAAAACACTTCAATGAATTTTTCTAAATCACCACTATGAGGCAGATACTATCCTCTCGGAGAGAAGCTTACGCTCACAGGGGCGGACTCAGTGGCCCAAGGTCACAAGCTCAGCAGAGACAAGCCGCGGTTCCAACCCAAACTTTTAACTCGCCTCCCAAGCTCACAAAATTACCCCAAGTGGGGCGGGGCTCCACTCTGCACTCACTCCCCGCCCCCGGCAAACTGGGGACAGTGGAGGTACGAGCAGAGCAACGAGCGGCTCCAGATGACACCGCACAATGTGGGCGCAGGCCCTAAATCCCGCGCCCGGGTTCCGAATCCAGCTCCGGCCCGTGGCACTGCCCCGCGCATCCACTGCGCAGCTGGGGAAACTGAGGCCTGTGCGCAGCAGGAGTGCCCAGATGTGGCCAGCGGCGCGCCCCACCCCACGGCAGCCTGGATGCTGCGCCCGACCCGGCCCGGCTCCCCCGCGGCCCCGGTGTCCCCAGCCCCCACCCCAAACTCAGCCCCGGCGTCGGTGGTGGCGGCACCTGCACATCTGGCAGCCTTGCTCGCGCTTCCGGGATGGCGCCCTCGCCGCCTCGACGTCACCACGCACCGTGCGTGCGAGCGCGCGTGGCGGCGCCGTATTCTGGGACCGACATGCGTGCGTGGAGGCGCGGCAGGAAGTGGTGGGGCTGATACGTAATTTCTGTTCGTTGGTGCGTCACAGTAAATAGCCAATCAAACAGTTCCTGTCGCGCCTGCTCAGTTGTTCAAAGTCTGAGATCGAAAGCAGCCCCAAAAGGGGAAACCTGAGAGACATCCCATTATATAGATGGCAAGGCTGAGGCCCAAGAACTGTAGAAAGTACCCCCAAGGTCTTAAGTGAGCTGTAGCCGAATCAGACCCAGGTGTTCTGCTTCCCAAGGCTGGAAATCGGCCTCATCCGGGTTCATAAATCTCTGCTCCGCTTTTGGTGACTGGTCCGGAGTTCCGTCCAGGATTCTGCGTTGAATCCAGTCACGTCTTCTTAGTCTCCCTTAATGTGTGACAGTTCTCAGTCTTTCCTCACCGTATTATTTCTGAAGAGTACTGGTTTCGCAGAACGTCCATCTCTGTGTTTGTCCGATATTTCCTCGTGATTGGACAGACTGTATTTTGGAGGCACAGGGTGTGGATGGGTTTCATTGCTGGTGATATTGAACTTGATTATTTGCTTGAGACAGTGTCTGCCACTTTCTCTTCTGTAAAGTTGCTGATTTCTCCTTTGCAATTAGTATCTTAAGAGACCATGCCAGGAGGAGAGGGAGAAGAGGGAGGGGAGGAGGGGGGGGGGAAGGAAAGGAAAGGAAAATGAGGAGAATAAACGAGACCATGCAAATGCCCTGTGGGTTTTATTTTTGTTGTTTTGGAAGGCTTTTTGTCTTTTTTTTTTTTTTCCTATCTACTAATTTTAACATCCATCTGTGGTTCTTGCTGGCAACATTTACTTGTAGTGGTGTTTGCCTCATAGTGGTTTTCTATTTATTAACTTGATTACGAATTGGAATTCCGTAAGCGAAGCTGTCTATTCTTCTCTGATTATGTATTTATTCAAGTATTAATATGACTGAACTCACGGGTACTTTATTTTGTGGATTACCATCAATCAAGTATTGTTTATTTTGCTGCCCCTTTAAGTTCTTTCCTGTGTTCTTTTAATACATCCCCATAAGCTGGGGGTTGTGACACATTCCTGTAATCCCAGCAGCTCAGGAGGCAGAGATAGGAGGATCATGAGTTCAAAGCCAGACTCAGCAACTTAAGGAGACCCTTTCTCTAAATAAAAAATATATTTTTTAAAAAATGGCTGGGGATGTGGCTCAGTGGTTAAGCCCCCCTGGGTTCAATCCCTGGTACAAAAATAAATAAATAAATAGATAGATACAGACTTTTTAAGTTGTAGATGGGCACAATACCTTTACTTTTTTTTTTTAGAGAGAGAAAGAGAATTTTAATATTTTTTTTTATTTTTTAGTTTTTGGCAGACACAACATCTTTGTATGTGGTGCTGAGGATCAAACCCGGGCCGCACGCATGCCTGGCAAGCACGCTACCGCGTGAGCCACATCCCCAGCCCAAGTCTGTATCCTTTATGAGTGCTTCTTTACTATGGGTACCACAAAATATTCCATGCAGTGAAAACAACCCTAGAATCAACCCTTTCTCCAAGGAGCTTGGTTTCTTTGCTTGAAGGGGGTATTTAGAAACAAAGATCTAGGTGCTTGGTGTGCTCATTGCAATTGTATTGTATTGTCAATACCTCTAGACCCTACTAGCAGGCAGAGCTAGAAAATGTACTTGAATATCTACTAACCAATACACACATATTTACTTTTGTATCTGAATGTGTACAGTCATCCCTCAGTATCTGTGAGGGATTGGTTTTAGAACCATGAATACCAAAATCCTAGGATCCTCAAGTCCTTTATAGAAAATGGGAGAGTTTTGCATAGAACCTTGCACATCCTCCTGCAGAGTTTATAGAATATCTAGATGATTTAGAATCCTAATACATTGTAAGTGCTGTGTACATATAGTTGTTGTGATTTAGGGACTAATAACAAAAGAGTCTGCATATGTTTAGTACAGATGCAGTTTCTTCTAGAATATTTTTGTTCCAGCTGGGCACAGTGGCAGGGTCTCCCTAAGTCTCCCAGGCTGGTCCAGACCTTGTAGATCCTCCTGTTTCAGCCTCCTGATCATGCCTGTAATCTCAGTGACTCAGAAGGCTGTGGTAGGAGTATCCTAAATTCAAGGTCAGCCTGGACAATTTAGCAAGACCTTGTCTCAAAAATAAATTAATAAATAAATAGGACTGGGAATGTAGCTCAGTGGTAGAGTGCAACTGGGCTGGATCCCCAGAAGTACCCCTGCCCTCTGCAAAGAAAGAATATTTTTATTCCAAGGTTGCTTGAATCCGAGGATACAGAACCACCAGATGTGGAGGGCCAACTGTGTAGAATAAAAACTACTGCAGCTGGACATGGTGGTGCACACCTGTAACCCCAGGTTTTTGGAAGACTGAGGCAGGAGGATCCCAAGTTCAAGGATACCTTGGGCAATTTAGTGAGAGCTTGTCTCGAAAATAAAAAGGCCTGGGCTGGGGTTGTGGCTCAGTGGTGGAGCGCCTGCCTAGCGTGCATGAGGCACTGAATTCGATTCATAGCACCACCATATATAAGTGAATAAAAGGTCCATCAAGGACTAAAAAATATTAGAAGGCCTGGAGATGTAGCTCAGTGGCATAGTGCTCCTCAGTTGAATTCCCAGTACTGAACAGTACTGAAAAACAAAAACAAAAAAACGTTCTCAGGCACATGAAAGACTGTTTAAAAGTCCTGGAATTAAACTTATCTGCATTCTAATTCCAGGTCTATCACATCCTAGCTGCATGGCCTTGAGCAAGTGGCTTTACCTTATAAATCATGCAGTGAAATCCTTACAACAAGGTTAAGCCACGAGATGAGCCCTCAGTAAACTGCAGGTAATGTTCCCACGTTTTGCCACATTCATTCATTGAAAAGTCAATGATTGGCCAGTCATGGTGGCACAAGCCTCTAATCCCGGTGACTCAGGAGGCTGAAACAGGAGGATCACAAGGTCCAGATCAGCCTGGGAGACTCAGGGAGACCCTGCCACAAAATAAAAAAGACTGGGTGTAACTCAGTAGTAGAGGGCCCCTGGGTATAATGCCCTGTACCAAAAGATGAAGAGGAGGAAGAGGAGGAAGAAGAAAAATGAACAATGCCAACGGGGATTCTTATGTTTGACAATTAAACATTTTTTTACTCTATTCAGGTACAGTGGTATGGGCCTGAAATCCCAGCGACTGGGAGACTGAGGCAGAAGGATCAGAAGTTTGAGGCCAGCCTCCGCAAAGTAGTGAGACCCTGTCTCAAAAAGCGGGGGAGCTGGAGAGCTTAGTGGTAAGGCACCCCTGGCTTCAATTTGTTCCCCTCCATTCTGGGTGTTGCTCAGATTCTGGGGATCCAGAGTACCCTGTCCCTGGCCTTGGAGTAGGAATAGAGGTGAATTTAGGAACAGACTCTCCCAGTCTCTGGGCACTGGTGATTGGAAGGTGGGAAGGATGTCCAACCTGGAGGAATCTGAGAGGTAGGGTGAGAGGGCTCATTCTGGAGGCGGAGAAGGTTGCCAGGAAGCAGTACATCTGCACTGGGGTTTTGAGGGAAGGTTAGGAGTTTGCTAGGTGCAGATAATCATTCAGGACAGAGAATCACAGGAGAAAGGGCAAATTGATGGGAAAGTGCACAGTGTGGATGTGATCCTCAGAAGACTCCGGGATGTCAGTGAGCTGGGCAGCAGCCAATGCTGAGAGAGGGAAGCCTGGGTGGGGGGTGCTGGAAAAAGCAGAATCCTGATGCACCTTGTCCCTTGCAGGAGACAAGACCCAGACTGAAGAAACCAAGCTTTTCAGTGGGTCCCTTGGGTGCTGCTGGGTGCTGAAGTGGAAGAAGTGGGGGGCTGCACATCAAGACCAAAGGGGAGTTGACTAGCCCAAAATGTTTTTTACACAGTGGACTAGAGACAAGAAAATGTTGTGTTCAAAGGAAAAAATAGGAAGTGATAGGGACGCTCAGCCGGTCCAGTGACATGGACTTTGGGGCCAGAGGAGGCCCGCATTTCAGGATTAGAAATTTTTCTTTGCAATTTTTTTCAGTTTCATTTCCTACATAGAAGTGATCACAGCTGCAATTAAATGCTTATCTGCATCATTGTTTATGCAATATCCAGATCCCCTGCTGGAAGAGAAACCCAGTGGGGGAAGGGACCTGCTCCATCTTGCCTTTCACCACTGTGACCTTGAACAAAGTAGTCAACCTCTCTGGGCTTCAGTTTCCTTATCTGCAAGATGAACATTTCCTCATGTATAAGGTGATGTGGCACAGGCTTGCTTGTTCAAGTGGCTGAGGTGGGTAGATCACTTGAGCCCACAGGTTCAAGACAAGCCTGAGCAATATAGTGGGACCTTGTCTCAAAAAATTTAAAAAATTAAAAAAAAAAAAAAAGAATGACAAGGGTCTTACCAAATATACCCATCCAATCTTAAGGAAGGTAAAAATGGAAGAAAAAAGGAACATACAGCAGGTGGGACAGAAATAAAAACATAACAAGGCATATTTATGTCCCAAAATGTTAATAATTATATTAAATATAAATAGGCCAAATAACCCAGCTAAAAGACAAAGATGGGAAGAATAGATCAAAAAGCAAAATTCAGCTGGACATGGTGGTGCACACTTATAATTCCAGCTATTTGGGAGGCTGAGGTAGAAGAGTCACAAGTTTGAGACCATTCTGGTCAACACAGAGAAACCCTGTCTCAAAATTTAAAAAATAATAATAAAATAAGAAGGACTGAGGATGTATCTCAGTGGTAAAGTTAAAGTGCCTCTAGATTCAATCCCCCGTAGCAAAATAAATAAATTAAAAAAAAATCGAAACTCGAGTCTATATTGCTTCCAAGAGACATATGTATAAGAATACAGAAAAATGGAAGGCAACATGGTGAAGAGCATGGAACATTGAAAACATGATCAAAGGAGAATGAGTACAATCCTATTAGTCAAAGTCCACTGTAAGGCCAGAAACAGAGATAAAGAGGGGAATGTCATGGAAATGAAAGTTCATTGGGAGGACATGACCATTGCAACTCTGTATGCAGTTAGTCCTGTGACTTCCAAATATCAGAATATTCATCTCATAAGAAAGGATCAGGGGGGCTGAGGTTATGGCTCAGAGAGAGAGTGTTCACCTAGCATGCATGAGGCACTGGGCTCGATCCTCAGCACCATATTAATATATATATATATATAGTGTCCACCTGTAACTAAAAAATATTTTTAAAAAAAAAACTGAAAAAAAGGATTGGGGGGCTAGGGTGTAGTTCAGTTGGTAGAGTGCTTGCCTCACATGCACAAGGCCCCGTGTTCAATCCCCAGCACCAAGAAAAAAGAAAGAAAAAAGAAAGAAAGGATTAGGGGTTGGGGTTGTGGCTCACAGCTCAGTGGTAGAGCACTTGCCTAGCATGTGTGAGGCCCTGGATTCAATTCTCAGCACTGCATATAAATAAATAAAATGAAGGTTCATTGACAACTAAAAAAAAAATTTTTTTTTAATTAAAAACAACAACACTGAAGTTTATATATGATGGTAAATAATCCAAGTTCCTCAGAACTAAGCCTGACCCCTTACTGGGGACTTCTCATATCCTGGCTGCCTTGTGCTGTGATTTCTGAGCAACCACTGGCCCCACTCTGGCTTTTCTGCCAAACACTGAGCAGGTGTCAGGACTACAACAATGAGAAACAACAGAGCTTCCCTGGCTGCTGGCGGTGGTGTCCTCCAGTGTTTTGGGCATGGCAGAGGTGAATCAAATGACACTCACACAAGTAGGCCAGTTATGAAGTAGAGCTTCATAAAGCCTGGAGGACAGCTGGGGAGGGGGCGGGGGGGGGGGGTTACCAGGCTTTGCCTTGAGGAGGTCAGGGAGGACTTCCTGCAGGCGGCAACCTCAGAGCTCTGATCTTCAAAAATCAGTTACTGCCTCCAGTGAGGGCTACCTCCAAAACCCAGCCTCTGACCCCATCCATTTATTTATTCATTTATTGAGGTCCCATGGGTAGTCAGGCATTGTTCAAGGAGGTGCTGGGCACAAAACTGGTGAAAATTCCTGTCGGGATATGGGAAAGTGAGGTGGGTGGGTGGGGTGGAGAGCAAAGCCAAAGGAGGACACCATTCTAGCAGGATTACCTGCTGGGAGCAAATTAAACAAGAGCTGGTAAGGTATAGTGCCCTGTTTCAAAATAAGATCCACAGAAACCTTCTCCCTGGGCACCTTATCACCCTCTGGCAGAGGTGCATGGAGGAAGAACTTCTAGTGGTCTTGCCCACTCTGTCGCCCACCTGGCTGTTATTGAGCGCCTCCTGTATGCACCAGGAAACCTTCGGGAAGCAGAACGTGATAGGTGGGGGGTGTTCTGCGTGCCCTTGGGCACGTGCTTCCCCTTTCGGGCCTTAGGTCTACTTCTGTAACTAGGGCTTCGGGGTGGTCATCCAGCAGTCTCATAGGTGCCCGGACCCCCAAGCCCTCTACTTCAGGAAACATTTAGTACTGTTTTCCCAACAGCCGCCAAGGTGAGAGTGCATGGAGAAGGGTGTTTATCCCCATTTTACAGATGCGCAGGGTGAAATTCTGATGGGAGCCAGGCACAGCACTGGGCTGCGCGGTAATCACGGGCGTTAGGATTCTAACCCTTGGCCCACTCGCCCCCGCCCCAAATGGCCCAGAAGCTTCTGTCCCTTTAAGAACGTCCCGCGGAGCAAAGCAGGAAGGAGGCGGAGCCTGCGCCCGGGACGGACGTGTGTGAGAACCAGTGGACGCGGCAGTCGCGGCGGTGGCGGCCAATGGTCGCGGCGGAGGCGGGGCCGGGCGCCCGAACCTGGTTCCCGAGGCGCGGCGGCCGCGGCTGGGGGCGGGGAGGGGGGCGCAGGACCCCAGGTGGGGGTCCCGGAGCCGGAGGCACGTGTCCCGGGGCGCCGGCGGGGTTGCGCCGGCCCTGGGCGCTGCCCTGGCCTGGGCTGGTCCGGAGGCCGGCGCGGCGGGGGCCGTAGCCGATGGGCGGGGCGAAGGGGCCGTGGGGGAGGCGAGCTGGGGGCGCGGGGGTCGGCAGTGTCCTAGGGGGCGCAGCCAGGCGCTGGCGGCAGGGGGTAGGGGCCGCGGGGCGCGGAGGAGAGCCGGTCTGGCGGCTGTAGACGCGGACGTGCTGGGCTGGGGGCGCCCAAGGGGTGCGGGGTCGGGGCCCCAGATTAGTGGCGTCAGACCGGCCTGGGGCGTTGGGGGCTTGGGTGGGTGGTTGACGGAGGGCCAGACCCAGGTAGGGGGCGTCCGGAGAGCGTAGGGCGTTATGGGATTGGGAGCGAGACGTCTGGGGACACCCGGGTGTTTACGGGGCGACAGCGCGGCTGTGGGGGGGCTGGCCCTGACTGGGGGTGGTGGTGGGGGAGGCCCATTTGTGTGGGCGCAGGGGATTGTGGGGGTGGGCTCTGGGAGGGTCTCAGAATGGGGCTCCGATCCCGGAAGGAGCCTGGCAGGTGAGGATTATAGAGGAGGGGATGCTGTGGGTGAGTGATGGCTGGTCTCCTGAGCTTGGGGCCTGGGGGAGGGGGCCTAGCTCGGATTGGTGATAGGACAGCCAGGGGTGGGGGCTCCTATAGGCCTTGGGCAAGGGAGACAGGCCTGGGGCAAGGAAAAAGCTGTGGAATGCCTTGGGGGTGGGGGGGTGTCTCTCCTACTCCGAAGGCTGCTTTGAGAGGTTGGGTAGGAGGCTGGATGGCTAGAGAAAGGTCTCCTTTGGCGGGAGGGCGGGTAGGGGGAGATTGAGGCTGGGGTCATTAGCTTCAGGGTGTGGGAGCATGGGGGTTCTAGGTGATTTGGGCTGGTGCTGGTGGTTGTGGGGAGGGGGATCTCTTTGGGAGATGGGACAATTGGGAGTAGAAAGCCCTGGTAATGATTCAACTTCACAAGTGGCTCAGAGGCTATAAAAATGGCTTCCCCAAGGCCTCAGGGGCTGTTCCCAACCAAAAAAACAAACAAATGAAAAAAACCCAGTGACTCTTTATTGGCATTTAATCAGATAAAGCCCCAGGGATTGGAACCCCATGTTTCAATTCTGCCCCTGCACTTGGCTTGCTCTGGGACTTCGGGCAAATGGCTATGCCCCACTGGGCCTCAATTTCCTTTTCTGCAGTTGGGGGTGGAGTTCCCTACTTCCTGAGGTGTTTATAAAGATTAAATAATAATTCGTTCTAATAATAGTTAACACTGATGCTCAGGGCTTGATGTGTGGGTTGTTAATTTTTTTCAACAAGCCTGGGTTTGTTGTTATACCCACTATATAGATGAGGAAACTGAGGGCCACAATCCCTGAGTCACACAGCAGGCGATCAGCTTGCAGGGAATGGGTGGTGCGGATAATTTGAGAGGCTAGGTGGGATTCTTACTCCCATCTGTAACCCTTCTCAGGGCCAGTTCCCGTCCCCCCAGCAGTATGGCATCCTGTGCGGAGCCCTCAGAGCCCACTGCCCCACCACCTTCTGTCCCACCACTTGAAGACTTCGAGGTGCTGGATGGGGTTGAGGATGCAGAGGGTGAGGAGGAAGAGGAGGAAGAGGATGATGATGACCTGAGTGAGCTGCCACCTCTGGAGGACATGGGACAGTCCACTCTGGAGGAGGCTGAGCAGCCTGGGGCCCTGGCCCGAGAGTTCCTGGCCGCCATGGAGCCAGAGCCTGCCCCAGCCCCGGCTCCAGAAGAGTGGCTGGACATCCTGGGTAAGGAGCAGGGGTGGTTTGGGTTGAGCCACAGCCCAGACAGCTCAGGGTGCAGAGTGACCTTGGACCAGGCCTTCTCATCCCCTGAGCCTTGTTTCTCATCTCTGCTGTGAGGGTTGAAAGTAACCTGGTAACTATGGTGATTGTCAGCCAGTGACAACTGCTTGAGATGCTTCATGTTCATGAACTCCATTCATTCTCTGTCTCTCTCTCTCTCTCTCTCTCACACACACACACACACACACACACACACCATGTGCTGTGTCTCTTTTTCCCAGAACTGTTAGCAGCGGCCCAGAGAGGCTGAGTCACCTGCCCAGAGCCACACAGCTAGTGTGCTGATTGCCAGCTGCTCCCAACCCCTACCGCATCTTTTCTGGGCAATTGTCTGACACGTGCCAATCCCTGAAAAATGCACCCTGAGGTCAAATAGATCTGAAGAATGTCCTGTTCATCCCTCTGGCTGGTTTACAGTACTCATTACTATTCTTTTTCTCCCCCTGGTGCTGGGGATTGAACCCAGGGCCTCACACCTGCTAGGCAAGCTCTGTACCACTGAATTGCACCCATAGCCCTTTTATTTTGTTTTGAGACAAAACAAAATAAAAGAGCCTAAGGCTGTTGCCTAAGGCTGGCTTTGGAATGTCCCACCCTGTCTGACTTCCTTACTGTTCTTAAATGCTTTATATCTGTAAAGTACCATTAGCAATTATTGTTATATTTGGGGGAGGATTTTTTTATTTTTATTTTTTGCTGCAGTTCTGGGGATGGAACCCAAGGCCTTGAATGTGCAAGTGCTCTACCACTGAGCTCCTGCCCAGCCCCTCCTGAGCTTGGGGCCTGGGGGAGGGGGCCTCATTATCATTCTAAATGTTCAAAGAAGTCCTGCAAAGAAAGACACTCACATTTCCTCCTCTTCCTTGTGCTATTTCAGAATTCTGAAAACAAGACAAATGTTAATATTCTGTAGAAAATAAGTTGCCACTAATCCTGATATCCGACATACTAAATGATTATTGCTCTTATGATAAATGATCCATCATCACCACTGTTGATAATACCAGTGGGCTACGGGTGTGGGTGAGTGGTAAAGCACTCTGGGTTCAATCCCCAGTACAGGGGGAAAGAATTTACTCCCTCCCCAACACCAGGTCCTGGTGTTCTGGCTGGTGTTCCTGAGTCCTGGCTGGCATGTCACTGGATCCTTCCAGCAGCCCTTTCCGATTCCATCCCCGTTAATGGAGAATGGGCTCCATGAGGCCAAGACACTTGCCCAAGGTCACCCAGCCTCCCTAGGTGTAGTAGAGTTGGGCAAGTTGTTTCCCAAGGGTGTTAAGTGTGAGAGCTGCGAGCTCCCCCTTGGAGCACTAATGTGACACTGTATTTGTGCAGCCTCTTTCTGAGGTCAGAGTTGGGGCCTCCAGGCAGGGACTGTGTAGCACCTTGGGAGAGCACTTGCCTAGCATGTGGGAAGCCCTGGGTTTTACTCCCAGCATCTCAGAAAACCGGAAAAAAAAAAAAAAAAAAGATTTGGGGTTTTCATTTTCCAGACAGAGAATCAGCCCTTGAGGGGATGTGGTTTGCCCGGAGTCCACCCTAGGAGAGGAGGCAGGGCCTGGCCGTGACTGTGACTTCCAGCCTGTCCGTCATCAGAGCCCACAAACCTTATGACCCAGGGGTCTGTCAGATCACTGGGTCTCAGACTGAATGCTATGTGTGTACAAGTAGGGGTGTAGCACAGACATTTAGAATTTTCTAGAATATTTCAGAATAAGGGTGGCTTCATCAGTGTCTCTAATCTTTAGATTAGAATCCACTCAGACTTGCAAAGTATTCTAGAGCATCAGAAAGTGGCAGGGTGTAGGCCAGCGTGGGAACTGAGCGCCTGGCCACAGACCATGGCTGCCCTCTTGCACAGCAGTCTTTGCCCTCGCTGCCCTGGGGCTCTGTTTGGAGGAAACCTGGGGGAGCTCTGAGGAAGGCCCAGCTCAGGTCACCTGCCCTCTCTCTACTCTGTTGTCTGCCGTCTAACGTGGGTGCTGGAAGCAGTCATCCCAGCAGCTGCCGTGGGGTGACAGTGGGTGGCAGGCTCCTGAGTGCCTTTGCAGGGGTGCTGAGCCTTGTGCCTGCTCAGCTGGCATTGGCGTTGGCTGTTTGGTGGTTCGTGGGATGGCCTGGGGCGTGGGAGAGACAGCAGCCAGAGTGGCTGCGAGTGTGGACAGTGGTCTCCTCTGAAATCCCGGCGGCATCAGGAGCTACTTTTGCTCACAAGCCCTTTGACTCTGTTTAATATTTAAACTCGGTGCACGTCGTACTTCCGTAGAGACGTACTCGCAGCACAGCAGTGGTTACAAACCAAGCAAGGGCTTGCTGGGTGCCCCTGGGAGGCCCTGTGACTGATCCCATTTAATGGCTGGGTAAACTGAGGCCCAGACATCCCAGGGCTGGGATTTGAAGCCGGAGGAGGGGTCTACTCCAGTGTCTCTTCTGGACCTCTCTGTCTGGAACAGCTGTTGGTCACTGAGCCAGTTCCCAGCACCAGCATCTTCACCCCTAAATCTGTCCTGTTGGAGCTGGGGAAGTGCCTCAGTGGCAGTGCACTTGCCCAGCAAGGCCCTGGGTTCCATCCCCAGCAGCAGAAAACAGATCTGCCATGCCCACTGTCCAGCCTCCTTGGGTCAGCTGGCCTGGCAGTGGCAGGGTGGTCATCATGTGTTTAGCTCGCACCCTCTGCAGCCAGCAGAGCTTGGCGGGAGCTTGGGGACATAGGGCCACCCAATGACAGGTTCGTGTCCCTGCTTCCTGGCAGGGAATGGGCTGTTGAGAAAGAAGACACTGGTTCCGGGCCCACCTGGCTCAAGCCGACCTGCTAAGGGGCAGGTGGTCACCGTGCAGCTGCAGATGTCGCTGGAGAATGGCACACGGGTACAGGAGGAGCCAGAGCTGGTGTTCACCTTGGGCGACTGCGACGTCATCCAGGTTGGAGAGGGAGGAGGTGGGTGGGGGCAGGATGGGCACCTTGCCAGGTTGGGCTGTACCTGAGTCCCTCTGGCCCTGTCCACCCCAGGCCCTGGACCTCAGTGTCCCCCTCATGGACGTGGGTGAGACGGCCATGGTTACTGCTGACTCCAAGTACTGCTACGGCCCCCAGGGCAGGTGAGCGCCACCACATGGGTCCCAGCCAAGTGGGGGACGCTGGTGGGGTGTCCCCTGGCCCTCCCTGTCTGCCTGCTCGCTTTATAGAAGAGGCGACTGAGACTTAGGGAAGAACACCTGCTAGCCAAGTCACGCAGCTCAGGGGTGGCAAGGTGACTTCCCTATTTCACCGAGGAGGGGTGGCGATGGGCACAGCTGGAACTTGAGGCCCTTCCCTCCTGCCCCAGAGTCAACCCAGCGAGCCTGGGCGAGGGCCAGTGCCGCCGGGTCTGAGTGCGCCCGCCTGCCCCACCTCCCCAGCAGGAGCCCCTACATCCCCCCGCACGCGGCCCTGTGCCTGGAGGTCACCCTGAAGACGGCCGTGGATGGGCCTGACCTGGAGATGCTGACAGGGCAGGAGAGGGTGGCCCTGGCCAACCGGAAGCGGGAGTGTGGCAACGCCCACTACCAGCGAGCGGACTTCGTGCTGGCCGCCAACTCCTACGACCTTGCCATTAAGGCCATCACGTCCAGCGCCAAAGGTGACCGACTGGCTCTGGGTCAGATCCCCACCACCGCCCCACAGAGGTGTTCCTCCAGCTCAGCTCAGAAGCCCCCAGCCCCGGGGTCCTGGGCTCGGAACACTAAACCCTCCAGACGGGGCCCCTCCAGCCTTGATGTACCCGAGGCCAGTGGGAATGTCGCGGAAGGCGGGTGAACGATGGGCCATGGCAGGTGGCATCAGTCCCTGTGCCCCTCCAACACTCCCTCCGTGAGGTGCCAAGAATCAGGCACTGGAGCCTGGGGAAGGTGTGGCCTGGCCCCGTAGAGACGGGAGGACCGAGCTCCCGACCCTGGTGGATGGCAGCCGGCGCGCCTCAGAGGCGCTGTCCTGGGGGCTGGTGGTGCAGTGACCACTGTCCTCCACAGTGGACATGACTTTTGAGGAGGAGGAGCAGCTCCTGCAGTTGAAGGTGAAGTGTCTGAACAACCTGGCCGCCTCGCAGCTGAAGCTGGACCACTACCGCGCCGCCCTGCGCTCCTGCAGCCTGGTGCTCGAGCACCAGCCCGACAACATCAAGGCGCTCTTCCGCAAGGGCAAGGTGGGCCGCCCAGCCGAGTCCCCAGCCCCGTGACCGAGAAAGACAGGCGTCAGCCAGCTGAGCTTTCTGGGGTGCAGGTGGGAAACAGGCCTACAGAGGTACAGGGGAGTAGCCTGGGTCCCGCTGACTGGTTGGCTGAGGCTAGACCTAAATCCCCGCTTCTCCGGCCCCTTGCTTCTGTCCCAGGGCCGCTCTCCCTTGTGTTTCATGCTCTGTGACTCTGTCTCCTTCTCCTTCAGAGCACAAGCCGAGTCCTGGTCATGGCCCTTGGGGCCCTGAGTCATCTGGTTGTCCCCTTCCTCCAGTTCCTCTGCTCTCTCACCTCCTGCTCCTCTCCGTCCACCCAGCCTCCTCCCTGCTTGCGTCTAGGCCCCTCCTGCCCCAGGACCTTGGTCAGGCTGTGCCCTGTGCCTCAGGTCGCTGTACCCCAGGACCTGCCTGGGTCTCTTAGATCTGGTTCAGGTTTTGCTTTTCCTTTTTGCTGTGCGTGGTGCTGGGGGCAGAACCCAGGGCCTCACATGTGCCAGGCAAGCACTCTACCCTGAGCTGCACCGCCAGCTCCTGTTCAGGATTTTGCTCTGATGTCACCACTTCAGGAGGCCCTCCCCACCTGCCTCCTCCCCTGCCCTGTCATCTCTTCATTTTTGCTATGTCACCTTCTGATAGATAGCACATGGAGGTGTCTTGCTGTCTATCTGCACTCCAGGCAGTGGATCCAGGGCACTTGCTGAGGCTGGCCTTGGCCTTGCTGAACTGCTTAGGGCCTCACTAAGTTGCTGACGCTGGCCTCGAACTTGCAGTTTTCTTACCTCAGCCTCCTGAGTCGCTGGGATTATAGGCATGTGCCACCATGTCTGGCTGTTGTCAGCTGGTTTCTAATTTGGGGTGTCAGTAGCATCTACTGTTTGAAAGTGAAAGAAACCCACTTGAACAGGTTCAAGCAAAAAGGAGAGATTGTTGGTTCATGAAACTCTCCTGTCCAGGGTAGCTAGCTTCAGGCATGGCGAGATCCAGGCATTCCCAGTGACGTGGGGATGCTGTGCCTTTGTGCCGTGGACTTCCCTCAGGCTCCTTAACCCTCACCCCTCACCTTCACCCCAGCTCCAAAAAGCTCCCCAAAGCTCCAGAATTTTATTCTTTTCCTTAGCCACCGGCTTCCCAGTGGTACTGCCCCATTCAGGCCGGATCTCACTGACCTCCTTGGGTCACATGCCTGGCCTCAAGTCATTCACTGTGGCCTGAACTTCCCTCATGGGAAGTTCGTCAAGGCCATGAGGGAAGGAGGCAATGAAGGGGGCACCCAGGCGTCCAGCTCAGCCTGAGCCAGACACACAGGGAGAGGGGACAGTGCTGTGCCAGCTGTAGCACTCGGAAGCCAAGGGCATGGGCGCATACAGAGGGGCCTGGAACCTGGGCTCCTGCCGGAGACGGTGGGGACTGGTCAGGGGGCCAGGAGCTTAGCAGGGCTGGGCCTCTTGAAGGAGAGCAAGCCTGCCGTGGTCCCCAGGATGGCGCCCTTTCCCCACAGGTGCTGGCTCAGCAAGGCGAGTACAGTGAGGCCATCCCCATCCTGAGGGCAGCCCTGAAGCTGGAACCGTCCAACAAGGTGAGTAGGACAGGGGTGTCCCAAGGACTTGCTTTGTGGGGCTATCTGGGAAGTCTTGCCTGCAGTCTGCCGTAAGTTTTTCTTCATGTGGCTCTCAGGTGTTCCCAGTGGGCAGGGGACGGGCAGCTAAAGGCCCCTGGCCAGCTTGCTAAGTCCCCGTGACCCCACATGGACAGGCTGGACTCATGCTGCCAGCCCTCCCGGGGCTGAGGGCACCACCTTCCTGGCCAGGGCTTGTGTCCTTGGCCTTCCCTCTGGGACCTTCCCCTCCCTGGCTGTCTTGTGCTCTGCACCGTCTACCCCATTCCTTTGGGCAACGGGGACAGCAGCGCCCCCTTTGGTGAAGCACAGAGTGGGCAGACCGAAGCCCCAGGTCCCAGTGGTCCTGGCCCACAGCAGCCAGCAGACCCGCAAGGCGGAGCAGCCAACTTGACGGGGTGGCCGCCGCAGCCTGTGCCCGCCCTGCCCACGGCCCCCTCCCACAGACGATCCACGCGGAGCTGTCCAAGCTGGTGAAGAAGCACGCGGCGCAGCGCAGCACGGAGACGGCCCTCTACCGGAAGATGTTGGGCAACCCCAGTCGGCTGCCGGCCAAGTGTCCCGGCAAGGGCGCCTGGGTGAGCAGTGCCGTGGGCACAGGACCCTGAGGTCCAGGGCCCGCAGGTAGAGAGTGGGACGCTTCTCATCCCGCACCTGCCGGAGTCCTCTGTCACCGGCTGTGCCGGGGAAGCTGGGGACGCAGAGGCCCAGCCCTACGCAGACCAGCGCTGAGTCAATGGATTGGCGCTGAGGGACCTGGGTGGGGGTGGGGCTCTTTGGGAACAAGGTGGTGACCTGGGGAGGGAACTTAGAGTTTGGGTTTCGGTGAGTGAGGAAAGGCGTGGCCAGCAGGGATTTGCCAGGAGGCCTGTTTGAAGCAAGGTGGGAGCAGAGGCCCAGGAAGCCAGTCGTGCGTGGCTGCCCTCCGCCATCTTGGTCACCTTCTCCCCTTTATTCACAGTCCATCCCGTGGAAGTGGCTGTTTGGGGCGACTGCCGTGGCTCTGGGGGGTGTGGCGCTCTCTGTGGTCATCGCTGCCAGGAACTGATGGACCAGGTGGCTGCCACCCCCTCTGCACACCGTGGACCCACCCTGCACTCCTCACTCCCTGGCTCCCTGTCCTCTGTCCTCTGTGGCCTGGCCCCCTCCTCTGGGTCGGGGAAGCAAGGATCGGGGGTCGCAAAGCCCAGAGAGCAAGAGGGACTGAGACCCCACAGGAGGCAGTGAGGGGCAGCCCAGAGGGAGGGCCTTGTCCCTGCAGACCCAGCTCCGCTTCCCCACCCCTGCCTGTGGGGTTCGGTCCCCCGGGGCCGGCCTCGGTTTCCCCTCCTCAGTAGGCCTGGGGCAGCCCACCCCGCCCAGTTCCCACCTGACCGCCAGCCCTTCCTGCCCTGCCTGCCGCCCTCTGTCCAGGCTCCCCCACAGTGAAATAAAGCCTCCACCCGCGCTGCGGCCTCCGGAGCCTCTTTCATTGCCACTTGGGCTGGGGTTCATCCAGGGTCACGCAGCACTGTGGGCTAGCGGGGCAGGCTAGAGTTGGGGTCTCCCCTTGGGGCCAAAGACCTGCTTTACAGAGGGAAGAACAGCCTGGAGAAGTGGGGTGGCGTAGCAGGGGAACCGCCTGCCCAGCTCCACCTGTCACCCGGCCTCATGAACCTTTGTTCTCATTGAGGGTCAGGGACCCCAGCAGGCCCTGACGCGAGCCTGGAGGATCACCCCTTGCTTCAGTGATGTGTCACAGGCACCAGGTTCCTGGCCTCCGAGGAGCTGGATGAGCAGCTGGGGTGTGAGAATACTTGCCCTGGATTTCATCCCCAGTACGAAAAAAAAGATGGGACCCAGGAGAAGGGTGTGAACACCTGAGTGGGGGTCCAGGGGTGTGGCTGGGGATCCAGGAAGGCCTCTCCCAGGTAGTGCTGTGCACTGAGACCTCAGTGGCCACAGGGGTGTGCTTGTGCAGCTAGCCAACAACCCTGACCATGCAGCAGCACAATGGGTGCAAAGGCCCTGGGGCAGGATCAGGCCAGCGTGTTGGGAGATTGGTGAGGGTGAGTAGCCAGCAATGCCGGACTGTGCAGGGCCCTGGGCAGGAGCTACCTCCAATCCCACTGGACTCTCCCCACCACCTGGGACTGGAAATGCCTCCTGTGAGTTGCCCATCATGATAGCCTGCATGGGAAGAGCCAGAATCGGGCCTCACAGCTCATTGGCTCTTCCTGCTGCTCCATCCTGCCTCCAGGAATGAGGAGGTCCCCAAAAGTAGACCTCCACAGGTATCGTGTACACCTGTCCCCACAGGATCTGAATCTGTGCCTTATTTCCAGGCCGTTTCTTTCTGCCATCGGAATGGCTATCGGGGGTAGAAGGCCACAGGTGGCTTGAGCCTGTGCCTCCTTTCCAGTGTCAGTCCCCTTTGGTGTCTCTGTCCCCTGGAAGGGGCCTTCCCTGGAGGCGTGGCTGCAGTTCCCTCAATCGAACGCCCTGCCTTTCTCATTCTCACTGACCTGGCCAATGCCCAGCTCTCAGGCACTGGCTGGGCAGCTGATCCTAGATGGTTGGGTGACCTTCCAGCTGGTCCTATGTGACCGTCACTGCTGTCATTCCCAAGTGCTGACCGTGTGCTGGAGAAGCCTCAGTACTGGGCTCCCTGTTCTTTGACCACTTTTGTATATTCTGGGGACAAGTCCTTTGTCACAGAAGGGATTGTGACTTCTTTCATCACTCGTGGCTCACTTTTAAATTATATCTCCCAAAAAGCAGATGTTTAAAATTACAATGAAGTTCAGTTTTTCAGTTTGGTTTTTCTTGTGCTTCCTGTGCAGGCAGTGTTTGCTGAGCCCAAGTTTGCAAGATTTTCCACATTTGTTTTTTTTCCTTTGGGGTGTGTGTGAGTGTGTGTGTGTGTGTGTGTGTAACTGCGGGCCTTGCACATGCTAGGCAAGTGTTCTATCTCTAGCCACACCCCAGCCCTTAGATTTGTTTTCTAAATATCAGTCTCAGTCCATTTGCTGTTGCTAAAACTGCATACCTGAGACAAGAACCTTTATAAAGCAGGGAGGTTTAGCTCTCAGTTCTGGAGGCTGGGGAGTCCAAAAGCATGCTGCTGGCATCTGGCAAGGGCCCCTTGTCTGGTAACTGGCGCTGGACATTGCATGATGAGGCAGCAGACATGCCAACTCTGGTCTCTTTCTAACAAAGCCAAGGCAGGGGCCCCATCATGACCCCATCAAATCCTAATTACTCCCCAAAGGGCCCCATGCATCAATGTAGGAACTTGGGGATTCTTCCCAACATTGCACTGTGGGGGACATTCAAGACATCACAACCCCTTGTGGCTTAGATTGGCCTATGATTTACTTTGAGTTCACGTTATGTTTCAGTTTTTGTTTGCAGTGCTGGCGCCGGAATCCAGGGCTCTGCATGCTAGGCTGGCGCTCTGCCGCTGAGCCCCGTCCCCATCCCTGAGTAATATTTGTGGTGTGAGTTTAGGGTTGAGGTTGATGTCTATAGGGCTGTCCATTTGTGGTGTGTGTGTGTGTGTGTGTGTGTGTGTGTGTGTAGATGGACACAATAACTTCATTTTATCTATTTTTTCTGTAGTCCTGAGGATTGAACCCAGTGCCTCACACATGTGAGGCAAATACTCGTTAACTGAGCTACAATCCAAGCCCCTCTCCAGTTGTTCTTGAAAAGTCTGTGGGGAAGACTTTGTTTCTCCTAGCTTGTGACTGTGACTGACCATTTGGGCATGGTGGCACTCTCCTCTAATCCCAGCAGCTCTAGAGGCTGAGGCAGGAGGATCACAGGTTCAAAGCCAGCCTCAGCAACTTGATGAGGACCTAAGCAGCTCAGCCAGACCCTGTCTCTAAATAAAAGACAAAACAAACAAGCTGGAGTGAGGCTCAACGGCTAACCTGGTTAGTTTGTCCCCAGTACCCTCCCAAATCAGTTGACCAGCTGGGTACAGTGGCACGCTTCTATAATCCTAGCAACTCTGGAGGCTGAGGCAGGAGGATTACAAGTTCAAGCACAGCCTCAGCAACTTAGCCAGAACCTGTCTCAAAAAAAAGAAAGAAAAGAAAGTGGGGTGGTGGAGTGGGTCTGGATTAGGCCTGTGGCCCCTGGGCTCAATCCACAATACTGCATTGAAAAAATACAAACTGGGGCTAGGGATGTGACTCAAGCGGTAGCGCGCTCACCTGGCATGTGTGCGGCCCGGGTTCGATCCTCAGCACCACATACAAAGAAAGATGTTGTGTCTGCTGAAAACTAAAAAATAAATATTAAAATTCTCTCTGTCTCTCTCTTAAAAAAAAAAAAAAAATACAAGCTGGCACAGCGTCACATGCCTGTAATCCCAGTGATCTGTGCGGCTGAGGCAGGAAGATCCCAAGTTCAAACCAGCCTCAGCAACTTAGCAAAACACTGTTTCAAAATAAAAATAAAAAAGGGTGGGGATGTGGCTCAGTGGTTAAGCACCCCTGAGTGCAATCCCTGTTACCAAAAATAAGTAAGTAAATGAAATAACAGCTGACTACATGGCATCTCTTCTGGGCTCGGCTCTGCCCCTTGGGTCTTCTTGTCCCCTCAGCCCACCCTGCGCTCTGTTCTGTCTCCTACACTGTCCCTTATTTTCCTTCATCCCCCCCCCCCCCCCCCCCGGGGATCCAACCCAAGGCCTTGAGCATGCTAAGCACTTGCTCTACCACTGAGCAGCTCTGGCACCTTCGGTCCCTTAGGGTCCCTCTGGGAGTCACTGGGAATCAACTGTAAAGTGCAGAGTGCACCCGACTGGACTGGGGCAGCCCATGGCTACGCATCCCTAACTCAGCTCTTCAAGTCTGTTTTCCCGTTTGGTCTGTGGATCCAAGTCACCAGCCAGGTCTACCCCAAGGAGGTCATAGGTGCCAGGCGGTTATAGGTGCCACGCCCTGATCCTGAAGCCTTCTGCATTTTAAATACTTAATGTTGGGGGTGATGTTACTATTATTGAGATAGGGTCTCACTATGTTGCCCAGGCTAATTTTTCTTTTTTCTTTTGGTACTGGGGATTGAACTGAGGGGCACAGAACCACTGAAACACATCTCCAGCCCTTTTTTGTATTTAATTTAGAGAAAACTCTCACTGAATTGCTGCTTAGGGCCTCGCTAAATTGGTGAGGCTGGCTTTGAACTTGCGATTCCCCTACCTCAGCCTCTGAGCCGCTGGGATTACAGGCTTGTGCCACGGAGACCGGTGCCCAGGCTGATCTTGAACGTGTGGGCTTAAGGGACCCTCCTGAGTGCCACCTCCTGAGTAACCGGAACTACAGGTGTGTACCACCACACCTGGCTCCAGACTGTGACTGCTGTTGTCTTTTCCCAGGTGAATTCACAGAGGTTCAGGGAGCCAGCTGGCCAGCTGCGCCTAGGGGTTCCTCCCACATTCTCCTCCACTTAGCGGCCTGGCTGGCTCCACCCTCCCAACCTTTGTTACAGAACTCCTGTGTCCCCGCTGCCCTGTCCCTGCCCTTCTGTGACCCTCCAGAGCCAGGTAGCCCCACCAGCTCCAATATTGACCTGCGCCAGCTCTGCAGATAAACAGCTGGGCCCAGACAGGGGATTGTTAGGTCAGCATCACCCCAGGCTGGTCCCAGGGGAAAGGTGGCAGAGAAAGAGCCCTGCACTCACACAGGCTGGTCTCCTCAGCTCTGAGAGCCCCTGCAGCTTCGCTAAGCCTCAGTCTCCTCATCTGTGGAATTGCCTTATAGCTGGATCGTGAGCATTGCATGAGGTCATTTATTCACTCAAAATTCTTTTTTTAAAATACCTTTGTTTTATTTATTTATTTTTATGTGGTGCTGAGGATGAAATCCAGTACCTCATATGTGCTAGGCAAGCGCTCCACCACTGAGCTACACACTCAGCACTTTTTTTTTTTGTTACTGGGAATTTAACTCAGGGGCACTTGACCCCTGAGCCACAACCCAGCCCTATTTTGTATTTTATGTACAGACAGGGTCTTACTGAGGTGCTTAGGGCCTCGCTGTTGCTGAGGCTGGCTTTGAACTTGCAATCCTCCTATCTCAGCCTCCCAAGTTTCTGGGATGATAGGTGTATGGCACTTGGTTTCAATACACACACTCACATACACACAAACACACACGTATATATTTTTCATATTGTTTAGTTGTTAATGGGCCTTTATTTAATTTATTTATATGTGATGCTGATGATTGAACCCAATGCCTCACACATGCCAGGCAGGTGCTCATCCACTGAGCCATAACCTCACTCCCTTATTGAGCATCTTTACTCCATGCCAGACACTCTGCTGGGGAGGGATGATTTTTTATTTTTATTTTTTGGTACTGGGGATTGAACACCCAGGTGTGGTTTACCACTGGGCTGCCAAGGCTGGCCTTGAACCTTCGATCCTCCTGCCTCAGCCTCCTGAGTATTTGGGATT